TATTCTAAATAGGAAACCTTCATTTTGTTTGCAAATAATAATATTAAAGATTCCAACTACCAGCAACAATGAGTCCTTACGTTTAAAGAGCACCTGTCATTTCACATCTGGCTGGGGAATTCTGGGAGTTGAAGTCCATAGGTCTTAAAGTTGCCAAGGTTGGGGACCCCTGCTGTACAGTATGCAACACAGGACACACATACCCGAACAAGGACGCTCTAAGCACCCTAACCCAGGCCTGGGAGATCAGCTTTAAACCTTCTGGGATGACCACAGGAGCTCATTGCAGAGGTCAGATGCCATGACAGAGAAGGCACCCTTCCTGGATCCTGAAAGGTGATCCTGTTTCATCAAGGGGACCCCACTGCCGGCTTTGCCAGCAGTGAGAGGCACTGCGTGTGGGAATTGAGCAACATCTGGCAGTCTGCAGCGTCTGTCTTAACCTCAAGGCCCGAGACAAGCTAAAAGGTGATGGGAGCCAAGAAACCACACCTAAAGTACTGCATCCAGTTTTGGTCTCCACACTATAAAAAAAGATGTTGAGACTCTAGAAAAAGTGCAGAGAAGAGCAACAAAGATGATCAGAGGACGGTTGCTGGAATTGGGTATGTCTAGTTTAATGAAGAGAAGGACGAGGGGGGACATGATAGCAGTCTTCCAATATCTCAGGGGCTGCCCCAAAGAAGAGGGAGTCAAGCTATTCTCCAAAGCGCCTGAAGGCCAGACAAGGAATAACGGATGGAAAGTGATCAAGGAGAGATTCAGCCTAGAAATAAGGAGAAATTTCCTGACAGTGGGAACAGTCAACCAATGGAACAGAAGTTGCCTTCAGAAGTTGTGGGAGCTTCATCACTGGAGAGACTGGACTCCCATCTGTCAGAAATGGTGTAGGGTCTCCTGCTTGGGTATGGGGCTTAGACTAGATGACCTACAACGCTGTTATTTTCTTCTAACCAAATGCTGCCTATCCAGACCAGGCAATCACCTACCAGGAACTGCGGCCTGCCCAGCGCCGTGAGTTTGATGGCAGAGAATCCGTCTTCGGAGCTGCCTCCTGAAAAAAAACAACCAAGTTAGCGCTCGGGCCCTTTCCAGTGCGGAAAGACCATCAGCCTCCAAGCATCTCCCCAGGAGCACTTCAACCGCCCTGCCCCGAGAACCAGGGAGGTCGGGAGCCACCCGGGCCCTCCCGAAGCCTTGAGGCAGGTGACCCCATAGTGATGTCAAGGGGGACCTCTTGAACTCCTTCAATCTAGACCTCCTCCAGGCACATCAGCTTCCACTTGCAGAACTGAACAGCAGCAGTGAAGTTACCAAGAAGGCTGGCAACGGGAGTGAACATGAGGGGTCCTTAACTAGATAACAACATCAGGGCTAGTCAGGACTGCTGTTTGCTGTCGGTTTAAATTCTGGTGTGTCTTGCCTGTCTGTGTGGGTGGGGGGTCTTAGGGATTCTTTGGTTGGGCTCTATGGCAGTTTCCTGACTGGGGTCTTGCTTACTTGATTGTTGGTGTAAAGTTGACCTTGGAGTTAATCTATGCCAGTGATGGCGAACCTTTTAGAGACCGAGTGTCCAAACTGCAACCCAAAACCCGTTTATGCATCGTCAGGTGCCGGGTGGGTGTGGCCCATTGGGTGGGTGTGGCCCATTGGGTGCGTGTGGCTGCGGTGGTAACGGCAGACTGGGTGGGACTAAAAAGTTCAGTCAATCAATTCCAACTTTGCAAGATCTTTTTTTTCCCCGCGAGAAGTTGAAATTGACTGATTGATTGAACCTTTTTTTTTTGCACACGGTGGCGGAGGCCTAAAGCGAAAAGGTTTTATAAAACCCAGCTGAAGGCCTAGGACTGGGGCGACGGCGCGCGTGCCCACAGAGAGGGCTCTGAGTGCCGCCTCTGGCACCTGTGCCATAGGTTTGCCACCACTGATCTATGGTGATCTCTGAATACTGGTGGAGAGGTGCTAGGGTTTTTTTCTCCTTTGGGCTGGCTGTTGGTCTCTTTGGCATCGTCCGCAGATGTTGTTAATGTCCGTGTGTCTATCGATGGCTGATTTGTCAGAGGGCCAGGCTTCTAGAAATTCACTGGCATTTTTGGATTTGGCCTGGTCTAGGCTGGTCACATTTTCCCAATTGTGACTAGGTGGACTCAGCATCTTTGGAGGGCAGCCAAAGTGGAGGAGACAACCCCAGAGATGCTTGGACTCCAGCCCTGCCCCCCATCTCTCCCCACTGGCCTGATCCCAGGTCATCATCTAGGGCCACATGTTTGCCCATCCCAGCTTGGAAGGCAGGTTGTACAGGTGTGTGTGTGTGTGTGTGTGTCCTGCACCCTTTTGTATTTCCCGTGGGAGGAAGCACCTTTGATTTGGGGGAGGCTGACTGGGGGGCCCTGAAGGCTGCTCACCTGAGGCCTCAATGCATTTCACGAACGTCTCCATGTGCCGGTCGCATTTGGCTTCATCGGCGTAGAAGTAGGTTCGGGCGCCAGTGACGCCATCCCGCCGATCCCCAAATTTGTGATGGACGCTGTAGCGCTTTTCTCTCTGCTCTGGGAAGGACAGCAAATAGGGAGGGACCCGCCCCCCTTAGCCCCAGAACCTCCAGCCTCTTTAGACCCTGAGCCCATCAAGGCCCCCCTCCTCTCAAAGCAATTGCTTCAAATTCTGGGCTTGACCAAGAATCCTGGCTGTCCATCCTTACTGGTTATCATGGTGTAACTTGCTTGACTTGGGGAGGGGGGGAAAGATGTCTCCCACATGGGCTAAATCTGTTTACATTCATGATGGGAGGCAAAGTCAGCCAAGACAAGAGAGCAAAAATGGTGACCAAGCCTGGACCAGAAGCATCCATAAGAACCCGTGGTGGCGCAGTGGTTAGAATGCAGCACTGCAGGCTAATTCTGCCCACTGCCTCCAGTTCGATCCTGACCGGCTCAAGGGCTGACTCAGCCTCCCATCCTTCCGAGGTCGGTCAAACGAGGGCCCAGATTGTTGAGGGCAAATAGGCTGACTCTGTAAAACCGCTGAGAGAGGGCTGTAAAGCGGTATATAAGTCTAAAGTGCTATTGGTCTTTGGGACCTCCAGAGCCCCTCGCAAGGAATCGGGCGATTCCTTGGCCCTCTGGCTGTTTTTCTCTCAGCACATTTGGAGAGCTAAGGAACAAATAGGGCATTTAGAATTCCTACCTCCTCTCCCCCCCCCAGAAAAGAGCCGGGGCCCCACCACTTTGGGTATGCGCCCCTTGACGTGCCGTGAAAAGACTCAAAGGGGCCTCTGGCCCTACAGCTTCTTCTGGGGCTCCCCGGGGGGCTCCTTGGTCAGCAGCCTTGTGTCAAACGCAACCAGAGAGAAAATGTTGCATCTTGCAAAGCCCCTCTTGGCTGCCGAGGGGTGGGAAAAAGCAACAAGGCCGAAGTCTTTGCTAGCCCCCTCCCCCCCAGGGCAGGCTGGAGACCCCAAACAAACAGGCCACAGCGTTCCGCAGCAACGTTACTTACTGCCTGTCTCCTTCTCAAAGGCAGAGACGCAGGAGCTGGGAAGGAAGGAAGGAAGGAAGGAAGGAAGGAAGGAAGGAAGGAAGAAAACTTTACTTTCTGCCATGGGGTCTTCCAAGTTACGCATCCCAAGCTGCTCACTCTGCAAGCACTGAACACAGCCCAGCCAAGGGGGGGGGCACAGCTGTCCACAGCAGCCCCGAGGCAACCTCAAGAGTTAGGATTAGGGTCCTCCAGCCTAAATTACATGCACATTTGGCAATATCAGAATCTGTGGGCCTTGCAGCCAAATCTCCAGGGCCGTGGCTCAACAAGGAAAGGGTTAGAGTAGGGGTCCCCAACCCCCGGTCCGTGGACCAGTACTGAGCCGTGGCATGCCAGCAACTGGTCTGCCCAAACAAGCAAAGGTCCATCCACAGGATGCAGGAAGCACACAAAACCACACATTCTTTGGTCCACGGAAAAACTTCTTTCCACGGAACCGGTCCCTGGTGCCCAAAAACTTGGGGACCTCTGGGTTAGAGTGTAGGTTGCTTTTTACAAATAGTCCTTGACTTACGACAGTCATCTAAGCAAGGTTTGAAGTTGTGATGGACTCCCTGGGAGTACAGTTAGTTCTTGACTTACAGCAAGTTGTAACGGTACTGAAAAAAGGGACGTATGACCATTTTTCACACTTAGGACCGTTGCAGCATCCCCATGGTCAGGGGTAGGCAACCTTGGCTCTTGTATGACTCGTGGACTTCAACTCCCAGAATTCCTCAGCCAGCATGGCTCAGCTTGGAAACTCTCCCTTTCCCCTCAGCATGGCTGGCTCAGGAATTCTGGGAGTTGAAGTCCACGAGTCATACAAGAGCCAAGGTTGCCTACCTCTGGCCTAGGCCTAGGCCGCTTTGTGACTCGTGGACTTCAACTCCCAGAATTCTTGAGCCAGCATGGGAAAACTATGGCTCCTTCATGACTTGTGGACTTCAACTCCCAGAATTCCTGAGTCAGCATGGCTCAGCTTGGAAACCTCTCCCTTTCCCCTCAGAATGGCTGCCTCAGGAATTCTGGGAGTTGAAGTCCACGAGTCATACAAGAACCAAGGTTGCCTACCCCTGACTATGGTCATTTACATTCGGATGCTTGGCAACTGATTCATACTTATGATGGTTGCCATATCTTGGGGTGATCGCCTTTTGAGACCTTCTGACAGCCAAAGTCAAGGGGGAAGCCAGATTCACTTAACGACCGTTACTAATTTAACAACTGCAGTGATTCACTTAACGACTGTCGCAGGAAATGTCGTGAAATGGAGCAAAGCTCACTTAATAAATGTCTCACCTACGGCAGCAGCAGAAATTCTGGGCTCAATTGTGGTCCTAAGTTGAGGACCGCCTTTACTTACGACCTGGTTCTGAAGATATACCGGGCACTCCTACTCCCTGTGGTCACCTGACCGCATTTGAGGTGCTTGGCAACTGTTTTATATTTACAGCCCTTTGCAGGTTCCCCATGGACATGTTTTATGCTTTTGCCCCAAACCGGCTCATGGTGAATCATTACGAGAACCATG